GTTTTTAGAGTATATAAGAAAAGATATTTTTTATGCATTATATTTGTACTTCTACAATAAGAACAAGTCTTTTAAAAAACTTTCTAATGAGGATGTAATGAGAAAACTATGCGAGATAAATGAATTTGAAAACTGCTCAAATCTTGATAGAGTGCTAGATATATTAGCCGAAAATATAGGAAATTTTACAATATATGACAATAACGGCATATTGCAGTCCAATTTACACAATCTCAATTTATCTGATAATGATATGTATCTGTTACAGTTATTTGCATCTTGTTCTACGGATGATCTGTATGATTGTATATCTATATTGCGAGATTCTATATTTATTAGAAGTAAGAAGGTCGATGAAAAAGAAATTAAAAATGGATTTAAAAAATCACATTTTAATAGAATTTCTAAGCTTCCATTCTTTAAAGAAGCATCTTTTCTTGCTTTAAATATTGCAGAAAATATTTCTGATGGCATTGCTCCTACTACTAAAAAATTCGTTTCCCCTATAATCAACTCAAATGCTGGCAGCACTCTTCTTAATTTTTTCCCAACACAAATGGCAGTTAGAAAAATAATCTTTAATAATGTGTCTCTACCCACCCTATTTAGCAATGTATTTAGTATGGCATCGTTGCCTTTTCTTGCCAATCAAGTTGTGTGTTTATGTCATGTACATTTTGATGGTATAATTAAACTAGGATTATATGCGTTTCAAGAGTATGAAATTTCTATTATTTATAATGAAAATACTAATAGTACAATTAATCAGTTATGTTATAAATATTGTATTGATCCAATTACATTTAAAAAAAATATAATTGAAGGGCACAAGCAAGCTATTAATAGAAAGATTAGTATAATTTTTAGTTCCCCGCTTAATATATCGCTAGATAATGTATTGGATGAATCGTTAAACAAAGTAGAAAAAATGGGCGATAAGGTTCTAAGAAATAGCTCTATTAGTGAAATAATGAAGTTTGTTGATATATTAAATGATGTGAGCCTGATTAAATATCCTATTCAAAATACTCATACTATTCTTATTAATATAGAGGATAAAAAAATAGAGGAAAACACTTTGAATAATATTCAGATATCCAGCAGTAAATTATCTAAAAGTAATGATAAATGCATAGAAGACAAAACCACAAAAGGAATTGAAGATAATAATTCTACTATTGTTACTTCTCAAGGGGATCACCATGTGATGAAAGCTATTGCATTAGTAGGCCCAGATATATCCAATGGCGTTGAAACTCAAAGAACTGCTTGTATAGAAGAGGCTATCTATACACATGGTTTATGGAAAATTCCCTCTCTAATCACAAGAAATATGGGAATTTCACTAATTGTCATTTTAGTACTTGCTAGTCTTTTTGTATTATACCGCTATGAAATAATTATGTTTGCGGAGTGGATTACATTCTCATAGTGAGTTGTGTTTGATTTATAATATATAACTATAGCTTAAAATAAATATTGCTATAATTCATATAAGTCATACTTCTTAATAAAAAGTGCCAATAATACATTATACTTATTTCATAGTAAACAATGAATATTTTATAGTATAATCTATTTCGAGTTGTGCTTTTATTCGCTTTAAATAGTTTACTGCGCTTTTTACTTGTTTTTGTTCTGCTACTTTTCTTAGCTTTCTTCTTTCTTCTTTATTTTTTGTTTTTCTTATTATTTTCTCTATTTATAATTTTAATATATCTCACATCTTATTGAATTTTATTTATAACACAGCCTCTATATATTTTTTAGAATGATAAATATTTGCCTTTGTATACCAACTGTTTCTAAGCATTTGCATCATATACATTATGTGTTTTAACTGCTTTTAAAACATGCAACTGGACCTGCCTATAAATTTTATTTTAACCCCTTCTATACTATTTGAACTATTTATTAACTCATAGGTTATTATATTTATATTCCTTTTTGTTTGGGTTTTAATTGATTTTTTATTGATACTGTTGGTTTCTATCACATGATGAACCATGCTAACGTGAGAGCCTCACGCCCACGCCTGCGAAGTCTTATAGAGCTGTTGTAATTAGAAATTGAAGCTATATAATATGAGAATAACAAAAAATTTGAATGAGTCTTAATTATGTACAAGGGGATAACCAACTGATAATATGTTTTTTTTGTTTTATCAGAAGCTTAAACTATTAACTTCTTCTTAAATTCTATTTTTATTGCTTTTTATAATATCAAACTAGCTGTGTTATATAACTATAAAAAATATCCACTTCTATTTATTAAACCCAAAATCATCTAAATTACTTTCTTTAAACCACCTAAATATCTGTTTGGTCAATGAATAAATAATACAATCCCAGTTTATTTTGTTATTTTTATGTTTATATTATTACTAGAGGGTATGCATATTAAGAATTTAAATAATTTTTATATTTCTAGCTAATTCAATAATATCATTTATAATTTTTAAGGAAAGACTTAGATCAAAGGTTAATGCAAAAATAAATACATTAAAAATATAAACTATCACCCAACTATATTACTAAGTACATATAAAACTTTTAGAACTCCTGGATAACATACTGTCTTCTTCTCTCCTTCTATCAAATTATACAATGCGCATGCGCTATATAGTATGCATTGCTGTTAATTTAAAACATATTAATACTTCATTTGCGTTTTTGTTCATTAATGTCTAACTAATATGTTCTCAATAGATACTAATGGAAATTGTCAATATTTATGTTTACTTTTTCTAAATTTATTTTAAAATAAAAATAAACCTTTTCACTCTCTATATAATGCCAATAAAAGCATGAAGGATTTTATTTTTATTATAAGAAAAGAACCCAAAATATAAAACATTCTCTAAATAAAGAATCTATTACTAAAAAATAGACTAAAAGCAAATTTATTTAAAATAAACAAGAAATGCATATTCATCAAATAAGTCTATGGATTTTCGCGTTATTTTGACTATATACTATTTTAAGTATAATTATAACAACACCTGTGCTATTTAAATTGTGCATAAACACATCATCAAAACTTAAATATTGATATGGTGTTAACATAATATTTAAACTCGAATTAAACAACTAAGTTAACTGTCGTATCCGAACAAATTAGGATAAATAAATAAATTATATACCCAAGCAAGTCAGGTAAAAGTAAATATCAGGAATCATAATAATAAATAAGCAATTAACTAATATCAATAACAAGCATTGCCGTTCCAGGAACTTAGTGGAGTATTACGTAGAGACTTCACAGTTACCACCTATTGGACATGACAAGAACAAACAAAAAAGAAGAAATAATTCGAATAAAAGACAACATGATTAGATGGAATTTACAAAAACAACCAAACCAGTTGTTTATCCCTTGTTACAATAAATGAACCAATTCAAATTTTTTATTCATTCTTGTTTTATATAGCTTTAAACATTTGTACATAACAGCGCTATTAAACTTCGCATACATTGGCGTGAGACTCCCGTATTCTATATAAGTCATCATATGATAGAAGCCAACAAAACCAACTAGTAAATAAAAAAAGCATTATATGAAGTATAGTAATATTTATTTTAAGCTATAGTTATTTATATTATAAATCAAACACAACTCACTATGAGAATGTAATCCACTCCGCAAACATAATTATTTCATAGCGGTATAATACAAAAAGACTAGCAAGTACTAAAATGACAATTAGTGAAATTCCCATATTTCTTGTGATTAGAGAGGGAATTTTCCATAAACCATGCGTGTTATCAATACCGTGCTCTATATTATCATTGGCATCATAAAATATCTCATCTTCATCAGATAGCTCAATAGCACTGTTGTCAATGTCATGCTCTATATTATCATTGGCATCATAAAATATCTCATCTTCATCAGATAGCTCAATAGCACTGTTGTCAATACCATGCTCTATATTTTTCACATTTATCAGAATATTATTATCTGCTTCATTATTCTTTATATCAGATAATAAATTCAGAAAGTTTACTATTTGATCAGCAGTTTTAATATTTAATGCCTTATTTTTAGGTGCCTCTATTTCTTCTAACGATTTATTCAACATATCGCCTAGTGATAGGTTAATTGGAGAACTAAATATCGCATCCAACTGGTTTTTAATAGTTTGTCTACGCGTTTCAATCACATTTTTCTTAAATTCTTCTATGTCTATATCGCACATAAAATAAAGATGGTCCACTTTTTTATTTTGGGTTTCTTCATTATAAGAAGTATAAACTTCATATTCTTGAAGTGTGTATATTCCTAGCCTAATTATACTATTGATAATTCCAGTATAACTGCTCATAAACTGGTTAACATCAGCAAATGAAAATAGTATAAAAAATATATGATAAAATGAAATATAAATAGGCAAACATGCACAAATAGCCGAATCAATACTTTGTTTAACATTTGGAGCGTATGCGGTTGCATAAGAAAAACCCCACACATTAATTATTTTTGAAGTGGCCTTTAAAGCAAACTCTATATCACCAAGAGAATTCATTTCCATTGGTCTTTTTTCTAAAGAAGGTATCTTTTTTAAAAATTCAAGCATAAAAGAAATTGTTTGATTTATAATTGGCAAACTAAGCATTCTTTTTAGATGGGATTTTTTAAATCCATTTTTAATTTCTTTTTCATCGACCTTCTTACTTCTAATAAATATAGAATCTCGCAATATAGATATACAATCATACAGATCATCCGTAGAACATGATGCAAATAACTGTAACAGATACATATCATTATCAGATAAATTGAGATTGTGTAAATTGGACTGCAATATGCCGTTATTGTCATATATTGTAAAATTTCCTATATTTTCGGCTAATATATCTAGCACTCTATCAAGATTTGAGCAGTTTTCAAATTCATTTATCTCGCATAGTTTTCTCAATGAACAATTCGAAGATATTTCTTCAATAAAGAAACTTTTACTATAGGGATTTGAACAAAATGCATAAAAAATATCTTTTCTTATATACTCTAAAAAT